TTATTATATTATATAATATTATTATTATTGTTATTATTATTATTGTTAATGTTGTTGTTAATGTTGTTCTTGTTAATGTTGTTGTTGTAGTAGTTGTTGTTGTAGTAGTAGTTGTTGTTGTTTTTGTTTGTTCATATTTAGTCAAGTTATCTTCAAAAAGTATTCGCTGCTTTCTTTATATATCATATATCATGTATATATCTGTATAATCCTCATTAGTCAGTCAGTATCATGCAGTATCAGTATCAGTATCAGTATTATCGTCGTCGTCGTCATCATCATTTTTTCTCCCCATAATTTCCACCTTGATTATTGCCTAATGCGTTGCTATTTTTCGTCACCACCATGGTCGTTTTATTTTTTCCAATTTAATCATCATCCTCATCGCCGTCTCCATCATCATTGTCATCATCACATCGTCATCTTCATCGTCATCATCATCTTCATCGTCATCATCATCTTCATCGTCATCATCATCTTCATCGTCATCTTCATCGTCATCATCATCTTCATCGTCATCATCATCTTCATCGTCATCTTCATCGTCATCATCATCTTCATCGTCATCATCATCTTCATCGTCATCATCATCTTCATCGTCATCATTATCATCATCATCATTATTATTATCACAACCATCATCAGCATCATTTTCATAGTTCCCCATTTAGTGAGGATGCCGATGAGTGTAAGAGTTACATGAAGACGAGATGCCCTGGCTGGTGTGATAGGATCATGATGTCCCATTCCTGTCGCAACATCATTCTTAATGTAGTGATGGCATGTTGTTGTTGTTGTTGTTGTTGTTGTTGTTGTTGTTGTTGTTGTCGTTGTTGTTGTCGTTGTTGTTTTAATGTGACGTTTCGATGTCCCACTCTTGCCACAACCCCATTCTTAATGTTGTTGTTGTTTTTGTCGTTGTTGGCGTACCATTCCTACCATAACATCATTCTTAATGTAATGATGGCATGTCTTTGTTGTTTTTGTGTTTTTCTTAATTTTTTCATATTTTTATGATTCCATTTTATAAAAAATGAAAAAAAAATTTCTCCCTCAGGAGACAGAAGTTGAATATGCGATGATTGGTAAGGACGTATGCATGGGCGATCACAAGGTTTGATCTTTCATTCATTCATTCATTCATTCATTCATTCATTCATTCTTTTTTTCTTTCTTTCAATTTTGTCATTCGTTATCATTTTTTTACTCATTTTCTCTTCTTCTTTCTCAACTTTTTCAATCTTTTCTTCCATTTTGAGGGTTTATTTGATCAGGAGTTTGACGTTTTTCAAGTATCATCGTCCAGCCTAGCAGCATGCTTTGTTTAAAAAAAAAATTCTATCAAAAAATCTTTCTTTTTCATTTTTTGAGATAATTAATTCTATTTTTTCATCATCGTTGCCACCACCACCACCATCATCATCACCACCACCACCATCATCATCATCATTATTTTCATCATTATCATCACCATCCTCACGCGAAAACCACACCCACCACACCATGCAGCCAATCATATTGAACTTGAAACTGCACAAGAGCCTAACGAGACCAGGTATGAGAATGGATAAAAATAGAAATGATATAGCGCCGAACATTCAGCATGCTTTGAGGAATGATCGTAATAGACTCATAGTAGATTTTGTTAAAAATGATTTTAGTTACAATGCCGCTGCCATTCACGATCAGTCTGACCATGACATTGACCTCAAAAATGACCTCGATGATGAGGACGATAGAAAGATAGGCGTCTGGATGAATAAAAATCCGGAAGTTAACGTTGCCAATGTGGTAGATGGCTGTAGTGATTCAGATAGAGTGAAGATTGAAATAGGCAAGAAGGATGACAATTTGGTCTGGATAAACGGAGAAGTGTTCGACTTGAAGGACGAATGTCTGAACATCCACAAGAACATGCAGTTCGAGTTCGAAGACCTCGTTACGGAAAAATTCATGAAGAGCATCAACCGAACACCACCAAAGAAAAAGATAAATGCTCTGGTAACTAGTCACTCGTCCGATCCTCTAACAAACCCACAACTACCGCCGACAACGGCGCCTGTAGCCACTTCACACGCCACCGGGGAGATGGTTATAGATAAATTTCATCTTCACAGTCCACACCCACCACCGCCGGCCACCTGTCTTCCGCGGCCAGCATCCAGCAACCACAACAGCCCTCGCCTCAAACACACGAGATCTTTCAAGGAGGTGATCAACAGCGTCCTCAAATCTGACAGCATTCTCAAGTACATGAAGAGATTCAAACACAGGAGCGACTCGGAATCTGAAGAAGAGGAAGAAGAAGCGATGAACAGCAACAACAATAACAACAACAACAATAACAATAATGATAATGACGGCGCTGTAAAAGATCACAGTGACATGTGCAGCAGTAAGAAATGTTTGAATCGGAAGTGCAAAAGTCTCAATGTATGTCCCAAGTCGATTTCATCAGCTGTCGACAGAGAGGTCGCTACAAAAGCTTTTAGAAGCGACAATAACAATAAAAGTAATAACGATGACAATATCAATTTATTGACTGACGTTAATAGCGAAGATGCGAGATCTGATAGAAATAGAAATAAATTAAAAGTTGAGGAGAGGACAGACAAGAGGAAGGGTTGCAAACTTCAGTGAAAAACAAACAAACGAACAAACGAACGAACCGTTTAACTCTAACAACACTTTTATTTTTTTATGTTGATTTTTCTGTTTATTTGTTTTTTGTTTTTTTTATTTGTGTTTATGAATGATCGTTCGATTTGTATTTGCGTGTATGGGCTGCATCGGATTTATATATTTTTAAACATTAGTCATTGTAGTTAGGTGTTGATTCTATTGGTTATGCATTTAAATGTGCCAAACTATGTGTCAACCAATACAATCCATATATCAATTTATCAGTCAATCAGTCAATCAATTAATCAATCAATCAATCAATCGATCAATCGATCAATCATTTCAATCAACCAACCGCTTCCTTCAAATTTGAAGAATCTATAGATAGCTGTTGGCTTGCCTGCATCCCTTATGGTTAATCTTTTTTTTTTGTATTTATGTTTTGATTTAAAAAAAAACAATTTTGTTTGTTAAATCTAATTGCAAATTATATTAGAAAATTTAATTAGTTAGTTAATTAGTTAATAATTAGTTATGGAATTTGACATACGCAAACTTTTTTTGGCTTACCTTTTGTAAGATTTTTTCGTTGTTTATGTCATAATCAGACATACGCAGATAAATTAGTTTTTTTTTGGTTTTATTTTTTGATTATAATTTTAGATTTATTCATCTATGTTTTTTTTTTGGAGATTTTATAGTTAGGAAAGATTGTAATGTCAATTAGTAATTTTGTTTAATAAGTTCAAAAATCAACTCATTATCGTTTATTTATTCATTCATTCATTCATACATACATACATTCATTCATTCATTCAATCAATCAATCAACTAACCAACCAACCAATCCATCCATCCAGACATCCTCACCTACTCCTCCTCCCCATCCTCCTCCCGCCATAACTCCATCTCGAGTCTCAACCACAAAACGAAACTCGATTCCAACTCGCCGTCGTCGTCGTCGTCCGTCAATACCCTGACGATGACGTCACAGACAGAAGAGCCGGAAATACTACAAATACTACTGTCGTCGTCATTGCCACAGCTGCCGTTCAACACGAACGTTGATGACGTAACTAATACGCACTTGCCACAACAACATCAACAACAACAGCAACAACATCAACAACAGCACCAACAACAGCAGCAACAACATCATCAACAACAACATCAACAACAACAACAGCAACAACATCAACAGCAACAACAACATCAACAACAACAGTATCAGGAGTTTCAGACGCAACATATATCCATAGTTGATTCAACGACCAAATTCATCCACATCAAGCAGAACGGCATGCTTGTACATATATTCAGAGAAACCTCGGTCTAATAATAATAATAACAATAATAATAACAATAATAATTATTGTTGTTATTATAAGTATAATAATTATAATGTTAATAATAATAATAGTTATTATTTTTGTTGTTAATTGTTCGTAATAATGATTCGTAATTGCCATGATTGGTATGTCGTAAATACAGATACTACTGCCGATATTATTATTATTATTATTATTATTATTATTATTATTATTACTATTATTGTTGTGTGGTGCTTGCTTAAATTGTTTTATCAAACAACCATAATAAGCGAACAATCGATGATTGATTGATTGAATGATTGCTTGATTGATTGCTTAATTGATTGATTGAATGATTGATTACATAACCATCTATTAATTGATTGATTGATTACATAACCATCTGCTAATTGATTGATTGATTAATTACATTATTGATTGGTCGATTAATTGATTTGCCAATGTTTTAACTTGTTCCATGAAAATTTATTCTACCAAAATTGACGTTGTTACTATACTATTACCACTTAAGTTACTACTACTACCTCTACTACTACCTCTACTACTACTACTACTACTACTACTACTACTACTACTACTACTACTACTACTACTACTACTACTACTACTACTACTACTACTCCTACTACTACTAAAAATACTACTATTACTACTGCTACTATTATGACGTAATTTTTTATAACTATTTGCTTTTAATTAACATTAAAATTGGCCTCTTGTTATTCATCTAACTTTCATCCATCCATCAATCCGAGCTTTGTATATATATATATATATATTTATTTATTTATTTTAATTTATATATATATTATTAATTATTATAATTGAATTGATATTATAGAATGATTTGTTTTAAAAATAAAATATAGATAGATATTTTATGTTATGTTTATTTTTTTCTTTGCTGTTTTGTTTTTAGCTAGGCACATAGATATAAAAATTCGGTTTCTATACCTATGGTTGGTCTTTTTTTTTTTAAATTATTTTTCGGGTTAAACATTTGTAAATATTCTGTAGAGTTGATTTCGTCTTTACTATTTTTGTTGTTGCTGTTGTTGTAATTATGATTATTATTATTATTCTTATTATTATTTATATTGTTATTGTTGTTGTTATTATTATTTGTTTTGTTACTTTTATTGTCGATTGTTCACTTGTGAATGCTCTTGAAATTTTTTTTTGGAATTAAATAGTAAATAAAATGTATATATGTTTTTGTTAAACAATCCAACGGACGATTTTGTAAACATTTTGTGTCATTTTTTCATCTGTACGAAATTTTTTAAGAGCACGTACACACACGCAATTCGATGTTTTGCTCGATTTTTTACACAAACACACACACACGCACACACACGATACACATACACACGCACACACAATACACACACGCACGCACACACGATACACATACACACACGCAAAACTCTACGCACTTGCGATAGAAACTCAATTACAAAGTATTACCCATTTTGCACTCATGAACAATTTTCACGATCCATGTTCCAAATCAACTTTTGATTAATAATTACCCTCAGAGTTCTTTTAGTAATAAGATTTGCCACACGTATTTCCCCGTACCTCTCAGTGTATTATATTATCTCAAGGTCTGTATGTATAAATATCAAGTTGGTAATCTTCAAACAACGCTCCTTCATTTTAAAGAACGCGTCGGACTTATTCGGATTTTTGAAAAACTTTGTTCGAATCTGCATTCAAAAGTGTTCGGAGATCAAGAATACCATATATATATATATATTCTAACGTTGTTGTAATACCATTGCGCCAAAGTTACCATCATTATACTTTCGTTGGAGTATTTTTTTGGTTTGATTCAGTACTGCTAATTCTTCAGCTACTTTTATTATCACCGATGTTTGTTTTATACTATCGTGTTGTTTTTGCTCCAAATTTTACTCAATACTCTTACTACTTACGCGGTTTAGTATCTATAATTTATATTTATATATATATATTTATATATATATATATATTTATAATAGTATTGCGTATGATTACCTGATTTTTTTTCATTGCAAAATAAACACGTAACTGGTTTGTTGTATATCGTATCTATTACACAAGGAACGATATATATGTGTATACACCACACACACACACACACATATTAATATTACATTAAACATTTGTAATGCGTATGAATGAATCCATATGAACATAACATAATGCAAACCTAAATTGTGATTTTTTTTATCGTCATCCAGACATATTTATAAGTAATAAACTTAACTATTATTTAAAGATTTTTAAAATTCTAGAATAATATGGTAAAAATATATAATAAAGCTATTAATAAAACTCTCTAACAATAATTTAAATTTCCTTATACATGCTTACTTGCAAACATAAAATCAACGAAACTGAGATAGACATAAAAAAAAACATGCTTTTAAATATAAAACTCATGATTTTTGTCCTCCAAACGATTTTTTTAAACAAGTTTAACAAAATTTCATGCCAAGCACTCAGAATTAAAAGCTGACAAGATGATGAATTAGATGAACAGTGAATGTATTTTTGCGTTTGCTAGGCATCCTATCTAGGTGTATGTAGTAAGGTTAACTTCTTTTTCAACCAATTTGTAGAAAAGACCGCACTGATTTGTATTTTTTATGTTCTCAAATTTTTTTTTACAATTTTCACACTTTTTACCACCCAAATTTTATATGTAAATTTTAAAAGATATAAAGACGAAATAACCAGAATATGTTTATTTAGAACTCTGGGGAAACCCTCAAGTTTTACAGATTGGGAAGTATTAGATAGTGAACTATCATTGTCTGGCATTCTGTAAAAGGATATTTGAGTATGTAGACACATGCATTTATATAATGTAAACACACACACACACACACATACACACACACACATTTACTATTTACATGCATGCGCGCATATACATGTCGTAGGCAACTAAATAGGTGGCAAAAAAAAGTATTTTAAGTCAAGTAAAGCAGTTCAAAAATATTTTTTTCAAGAACGATCTATCATCATTCGTAATGTCTTTTAACCGGTTCACACCTCCTGGAGCTTCTCCTCGATTGGATTGGTTGTGTGGATGATTTTGAAGGGTCGTTGGCAGCTACAGAAGCCGTTTCTACATTACTGTGTCCATTCATTCCTACTACTTTTTTTGAAATTTCGCCGCTAGTCTTCGATTTTTCTTTAGGTTCGTTATCTATTACAGTGGCTGGATTTTCAGGATCTGTGAGGCAACAGTATTCAACATTATCTGAAAAAATGTCAGTTTTTGGATTTGGTGGCTTTGGAAGCTTGGCATTAGGCGATCTCAGTGGATTTCTTTTTCGTTTTTTATCCAGAACCGAGCTAGTGTGACCATTTACTGAAAGGTGGCTTGAATCTGAGTCGACATCCCCATTCGAAGCTGTGGAGTTATTGGCAGAGCTGTGATTTATGGTTGTGTATGTTGTTGGTGGTGAAGAGTTGATTTCAGGTGTTTTATTGAGTTCACTGATCTTGCCAGCTGTTGACTTGGGAGTTCTTTTATTTTTAATGGCGTTATTGTTTGGTGTATCGAGTAAGTTGTTTCTCAAGTCAGCGAGGGTGTTTTTCACGGGACTCGATGTCATAGATTCATCGATGACGAGCTTACATCCGGAATCGTAAGCATCTTCATTTTCTAGGGAGCACCTTTCATTGCCCACACCATCTCCACCATTCTTATTGCTGGGGCCATCCTCTTCAACATTAACGTTTTTTTGAGTAACATTTTCAGCAGCTTGATCTCCATTGGAAACAGTTGATTGAGGAATTTCATCATGATGACCCAAGGAAAGTGGCAAAGATGCTGGTGGCGAAATTTTAATTTCATCTGGCAAATCTGTCGTTGAAGTCACCATACTATCATTATTTGCATCCAAAGCCTCGTTCATTTTACCTTCAGAAGGTGTGGAATCATCATTTTCTTTTTCAGTTTCGGCAACACATTTTTCTAACTTGTTACCATCAGAACTCGCATAACTTACTTTGCTTCTTTGTTTCTTCATCAATTTGGTAGAATTCCTAATTACGCCTTTTTCAGTGTAGAGAGCGCTCGTTGGTAGGTTGTTGAAAGAGCTGTTGCTGGCCTGTGAGCTGTTTGCACCGAGACTGCTGTTGAACTTAATTCGAGGCCGACCTCTTTTCCTTTTTGGAGGTATAGAGTCAACACCGTTTGCAGATTTTTTGTCAGAGGAAACTAAAAAACTGTTCAAGATCGATATTTTTTTTTCTACGTCATCTTTTATAACAGGGAAGCCTCTACCGTTGTGGTCGGCATCAGCCACATTGATGTCTCTACTCTTCAATTCTTCCCAATCTTTTGACAGGAGGTACTGCAGTTGAGGGCAGGAAGGTGGGTGGTCATCGCAGACGATTCGACCAGTGGCCAGTACTATGATGTTACCCTCCGTGTGTCTCGAGCAGAACGAATTCGGGCACATACTGCAGAGTTGGGAGGACCACTTGCCACAGTTTTCCTCGTTGCACAGGTGCCAGGGACATATCCATTTTCCTGGAGGCGGATAATTAATGTACGAACATGTTGCTAGTTAATTATGAAATTACCAAAATTATTACTATGATAGATTATGATAGTTTTGCATAAATTATCTAAAAAATATAGTAATCTAAAAGATTACGTTATTTTGGATGTTGTGTCACGAGTATTTGATGGTACTACTACATTTCGAACCATTAAGAAGATATCTCAGACATCAAATTACAACACAATAGGACCACCAAAGACGGAACCTTCCAAACTTAAGCAAGCAACAGGAATATGCAAACAATCAAAAACATAAAACGTACAAAGCGTACAACAGGTTCTACTAACCTCTGGGCAAGTGATTGAGATTGAGGCAATCAAGATGATATGATTTAGTGCAGCCTGTCTTATCACAAAGCACCAGCTCTCCCCCGAGACCGCACCTGAAGCAGAGGTCCTCGTGAACTATCAAGTCCTTTGTAACGTTTCGAGCTCTCCTCTTCTTCTTCTTTGTTATCAATGTCCTCTCTGCCTCCGTGCTGGTCGACTGATTTTAATTTTTATAAAAACTCATTTCATTTTTTAGTGTGTGCGTATGTGTGATAGAGAAATAGAGAGGGAGAGAGAAAAAGAGAGAGAAAAAAAACATTCAATAAACTCAAAATACCAAGAAAATATTTATTAAAAATGCTTGAAACCTTTGGCCTCTCACCAAGGAAACCACTACAGACAGGCATCCCACAGTGGCATATGGTCTTCTTATCACCCAGGCAATCAAAGTTGTAGTTGAATGTTAGCTCCTCACCTGGTTTGTTTAGAAAAAATGAAGATGATGTCAATGATAAGACCGATGAAGATGATAGCGATGAAATGAACGATGAAAAAGATTTGGCAAACGATGAAGATAAAGATACGCATGATAACGAAAATGATACAGATGTAGATGATGGCTGAGGTACTTACCAGCTTCAATGAACCTCATAGCGAACAGTCCAACCCTCACATCTCCGTTAACATTCCACTTTTGAGTTTCACAATTTGGCTGGCAACTGTGGTTCATAAAACGAGAGTTGTTGCCTTTTGGTCCTGCATCTATGATTCTGTGACGTAGTAGTCGGGTTTTATTGCGTCTTGTCCGTTAAATGGTAAGTTAGTTTTTAATTATATTCAATTGTTTAGTCAATCAAACAAACAAGCAAGCAAGCAAGTAGTCAATTGATTGAACAACGAGCAAAATGAATACCGTCAGACACCTGTTCTTATCAAGGGTTAGCATGTAGAAGTTGGTTACGTTGGATTCCTTGGCCCTTCTCAGCCTCTCCTTGCATTCCTCCTCATCTATCAGGTCACCTACATACTCGTGGATGAACTGGCCCTAGGAGAAAGTTACATAGCAGAATGTAAAAGAATTTATTCAAATCATCTTTACTGCTACAACTACTACCATCAGTCCTATCATTAATAAGCAGTATTACAACAGTTATTATTTATAAACGTTGAAAATTAGAACCTCTTAAAATTCAAATAAACATGGATCAACCATCTGATGACTACACAGCACAAAAGAGAAAACAAAAAACAAAAGAAAAAAAAGAGCAATCGGTTAACCTTTTTAATGTCGATCTTGGTTCTCAGCCCCCAGCCCCTGTTATCGGCGGTCCTGAAGTACTCAGTATCCACATCCCACCTGGACTGGATGGCCCGGTTGAGGCACATCTCCCCAGCAGGGCAGACGGCAACATCACACTCGTACATCATCAGCCTGTTTATGCAGTCGGAATCGGGACCGCACGGACTGGGCATCTCTGGACTGCATTGGCACCTAGGGATCTCAGTCAGTGGGACTTTGAAGATTTCCACCTTCCCGATCGGGACGTTGGACTGGTCGTGTTAGCAGAGAATGAATGGAATAATTATTATATGGACAAATTTTCCAAAATATAAACCCTCGAATGAAAATTTCAAAATATAGAACTGAATAGCACCAATGCCTACCTTGACATGCTTGTAAGGGCCTGGCTTCTTATCATACACCTTCAAATCTTTCTTGTTCCTCTCGTCGTAATATATCCGGGCCGCAACGTCTGCCTCATCGAGAGCTGTGTCGGGAAGGAATGAATGAATGAGTGAATGAATGAATGAACAAACATGTGATTTCAATGTGCAAACATATGAATGAGTAATCATAAAAATATTAGCTAACAGCATGAAAAGAAACTAATTTATTTCTAAATGAATGCAAAATCTGAATTTGGACAAAAAAAATCACAAAAAATGACATCATTAACATTGACAGTAACAGCAAAATGATATCACCAACATCAACATCACCAACATCAACATCACCAACTGAAACAACAACAACAACCTTTACTGAAAACTTCAACAAAAGACTTTGAACTCCCTCTCTTAGCTCCCTTCTTATCTCCCTCCTGAAAACTGAAAACTCTGTTAAGAGGATAAAAAAAACTTATTACACACACACACACCACACACACACACAAGTACACACACACAAACACACACACAGCCATAACATACACATACACTACAAAAAACAGCCATCAACCAACCTGCCCTTGTGTGTCCATAAATAATCGTACGACCCAAAAAATCGAACTGGGAAATCCCCGATACCGTGGGCTATGTTCTGGATGTTGGTGGGCACGTTTCGGGGGTGGCATATCTCTCCGGGCCACCATCTATTTATTTTTTGTCATTTTTTTAAATTATTTTATTCTCAATAGTGAATTTTAACTTAAAAAAAATCAAACAATCCTCTATGGTCTAATGCAAACGTTTAATAGTAATTAAAGCCATGAAGATGATGATAAGATGATGAAGTGAACAAAAATAACGGTACTGCGATTAAAATGATGGGAAAATGACCAAAAAGACGATATGGTTACAAAGACAATGATCACAAAATTCATGATATGGATAGGATGGTGTGATGTCACTTTACCTGTATATTCCTGCCTTGCACCAAACAATCTCGCCATAGAGAGGCCTCTTACCATCGAGACACAACTCACAAATCCATTTTTCTGAAAAAAAAAAAGTTTAATGATTGATTGAAATGAATTAGCCCACTATACACCATCATGACCACTAATATCATCATCATCATCATCATTACCTTCTTCAGATGGAGGAGTTTCACAGCATGCTGGATGAAATGAAGCAGGACAGTTCTCACAGCAGACCAAAGAACCACCTAGCAAAAAACAATTTAAAACTTTCAAGCCTTCACATCAATGAATAAAAAAACAGCAATTATCACTCTCTCTCTCTTTCTTTGCTAAATTTAATTCCCATTCTAGAACATCAAACATTCTCTCTCTCTTCTTTCCTCCCTCCTTAATTTAATTTCACCATTCACTCATCCTTCACCGAAAAACCAACCTTCCCCACAAGAGAAGCACCAAGCAACATTAACATGTTCCTGGTGCTTCCTCTTGTTATCTGACATCTGGTGATGGTCCCCACAAATTATCCAGCCATTTGAAAGTATCCTGCTGCCAGCCGCTATGCACAGATCACCAGTGTGGTAGGCATTCGGGCAGACTATGCACTTTAGCATTTTACCTTTGGTGTATATCGTGTGCGCGTGTGTGTGTTGTTGTGGGTGATTCGAGGATCTGATTGGTCGTTGGTGGGTAATTTGAAAATTTGATTGGTAGTCGGTGGGTAAATAAAAGAAATGATTGGTTGTTGGTGGAAAATGTTGTGATTTTGATTTGTAAAGTCATCAAACTTTCAAACAGACCTCTTTCGGCCATGCCCATCTTCTCAGCATCGGCAGCACAAGAGGCACACGTGTGATGCGAACACGTCAGCGACCTCTTCTCACACTTCCCATACTTTAACGTCTTCAGACAGTTAACGTGATAATAAAACGAGCAGTTATTCACATTACACTTCAAAGCCGTCGTCGTCATCAACAACTGTTTGTGGGATTTAGTCGGTGACATTGACCTTTTAGACGACTTTTTCGTCGGTGTAGTGCTTTGGGAATTAGAAGCTAACGTCGCTGTTGATGACGTCATTGAATTGTTGTCATTGTCAGGTGTGTACTCCTTCCTCTTACATATGAAGCACGTGTGCGTGCCTAGCAAAATTCGGCATGTTGAAAGAGTTTAATTATAAATCATGACATCTGACAAACAACTGCAATCACGAATTCAAAATTTTACTTCCCCTACCTAACATTATTTAAAGGTTCATCCCTTAGTTAATACTATAGCACAGATACAGAAACATTAGGCGTAAAACGGCCTAATGTTTATTTATTTTCATCAGCAATATAGCACAGCTGAATATATGTAAAGTCATCTCTAAAAAATATATTTGAGAGAATCAAAATTAAAATTAACAGAAAAATGGGAAAAAAAATTGTGAAATCACTCACCTTCAAGACATTCTGGGCACATAAATCCTCCATCAGTAGCTATTCCATTACCAACAACCACATTACCACTACCAGAATCACCATTGACTGCATCCTCTCTCTTCACCAAATCGTCTCCTACCACTTTCTTATCCTCATTAACAGTCATAACCTGAGTTGAACACCCCCCTGTGGGAAGAACACACTGAGGGTGGTAGGACCCGTGGCAAGGACCCTTGCACCTAACGACCCCGGCTGTTGAGAGGTAACATTTCAGACAGACATCATCCTTTTTACCATTATTGCCATTTTGACAGATTAGTTTCAAGATCTCCAATGACCTCTTTGCCTCTTTTTCAAGTCTTTTTTGATGTTTCGTGGCGCTGGTTTTTGATGAGGACTGTATCAACGGTGAGTGAAGTTAGAGCAGGATCAATATAACGTAAATTTAAAATATCATTAAATTTAAAACCTCATACCATACAATAATGAATGAATTAGTCTACTTAGGGTATGAATAAAAAACAACAGTTAAATCAGAAACCAATATGAGTGAATTTAAGTGGGAAAAACCCATGCAATAAATGTTGAACACATGAACAAAATGATATAATGATTAGAGATACATGCGTATAATCATTTAATGATTACAAACAAGATTGCTTGACGTATCATCAGATGTATTGTCATTGGCATCATCTTTTCCTCCCTCATCATCTTCTTCATCTTCATCATCGTTTCTATACTCTTCATCATTGCCATCCAAATCGTCATTGTTATCGTCGTCGTCATCATCATCCTGGGATTGAGAGAGTGCAATTGAATTTTTCTTCTTTCTTCCTCTTCTTGGCTTTTCACTACTTAACAACTTCGCATCTCTTTCAGATTTTGCATTCAGAACGTCACCATCCTCATTGACAGCTTCACGTTCACCATTGCCATCACCATCGTCATCGTCGTCGTCATCATCAGTTAGACTCTTAAGCTTCCTCTGTAGAAAAAGATGAAACATTCTAATTTCAATAACAGATGATGATGCTTAGTATAAATAATTATCATTATTTAATAATTTTGTCATGAGTAATTCTCAAAGATATCAGCAAGAAACACATAGCATTTGTAAACAGTGTCAACATCCCAAAAAAAACTCACAACAGTCCTTAGCTGATATTTAGTAGCACTCGCCCTCTCTGGAGTTGTCTGGAATTTTGTCGATTTTTTAATTCTTGCAACTTTTGAATTGTTGATGTTATTAGTATTGATGTTTGCATTGCTGCTGTTGTTGCTACAGCCATTATCATTGACTATGTTGTTGGCGTTTTTGTTGATGTCGTTTGATATTTCGCTGGCAGTGTTGTTGTCTTCAACCTCATTCCGATGGAAATTGGGTGTTTTGTAGTTGAGTTTGATTTTCAGTATTCCACCGCTGCTATCCCGTTTTTGCTTTTTCACAGGTCTTTTTTCTTCGAATAGTGTCAGATAAATGAAAAAAATTATTTGATAATTGAAGTAATTAAATGAAAATTTATCAAAATTAAAAAAAATTTCAGTAAAAAAATACATCAATCAATCAATCTTCGTTTTGCGTCCAGAGACCCGGTTTACCGAGGTAGGACATTAAAAAATACATAATTAATAAATAAAAAATACATAATTACAATTAAGAAAAATAAAATGGAATTTTAAAAAGAATACTAGATCAATGAAATGTTAACATAAAAAAAACTAAAATGCAAAATAATACCTTCAGAATTTGACTCATTGGCATCACCATCCCCAGCAACTTCCTCAGCAACATCATCTTCATGTTTCCTCTTCATTGCCACTCCTCCAACCAATGATGTGGATGTAAGTTTACTTTTACTCTTCTTGGGACTATCCTTAGTTTTATTTTTAGACAGTATCTCTTCAACGTACTTGATTCGTTCTTCAACTGGCATCAAAAATACTCTAGCAGCTTCTTCCACGGCCTCATTCCAGGCTTCCAACCTGTGCGGCTTGATTTCAAAACTCTGCAGAGCAATTTTTGTGATTTTTTCCGAGACCGATTTCGCAACCATGCGATTGGCTTGGTCTAATTTTTCTTTGCGATGTTCTTCAAATTTTTCTTTGCCCTCAAATTGGATCATCGATGGCTCCAGGACCCAGCCCCGCTCTGAATTGTTGCCAAAAAAATGAAAATGGTATCCCCTGTTAACTGGAGACAATGTAATTTTTGTTAAGTTACATCAGTCAAGACCTATCATCACAATCACTTTCTATTAAAATTTATAAATAATGAAAGGTGTAGTTTACAATAATGAACTACTAATTTTAAGAATCATGTAAATGGTGACAAATAAAGAGCCCCAACCTCTGATCATTTTAGTGAAGAGCAAGTTGGTGGGATCTTTGTAGATCATGCAGGGCCACCAGGGGTGACCCGTCACTCGGGCCCAAAACATATCACCAATTGACCACTTCACTAACGTTTCAAATGTCTCTTTCAGAGGTTTATGAGTTGGTGTCAAGGAAGGTATTGTAAGAGTATCAAGTGGTAATTTTGATGCAGACTCCATTCTCTGATCAGCCTATATCAATTAAAATAATCCAACTTTAAAAAATATCAAATTTAACTAAATTAAGCTTTTCCCTAAGGCTTGCCTTAATTGTAAGCACAAGTTAGATTTCATTAGAATATAAGATAACATGGATCTTAAAATCTTAATATCTTAACTGTAATTCCCACACAAATATACACACTTAAAATTTTTATATCTTTTTATCAATTTGTAGAATTTTTCATTCCACTTTATTGCTTGACTGATGCAGATTTTTATGGTGGCCTTATAAGCCAATGTGCTTTTGGTTTTCTTAATAAATAAATAGATAGATATGAAACATTATAGAAAAATAATAATAAAGCACACATACATTTGAGTCACTAATTGGATATCCGGGTGAAGGAGCACTTTCATTATCAGAAAAGATGGTATTCCTTACTCGACCCTTCTTCAACTCCAACTGCTTCTTCAAATTTCCTTTTGTTTTTGCTCGTTTGGTCTGGCTGTCATCGTTGAGTTCTTTACTGGAGTTTGATTCCATTGAGATGTTGGCTTCAGTAGAAAATTTTATATCAGATACTAATTCGTTTTTTGGATGATTTGCCGCAATCGGTGCTGCTACATTATCGTTATTCTCACTAATTATTTTATCGTTCAGTAATTTTTCATGATCAGCAAGTGGTTGGACGTCTGTTTGCATATCTATTTTCGACCCATCAGCCGATTTTGAATCTAACGAGCCATCACAATCCATATTCGATCCTTGCTTCATTGCCATGTTGGAAAAACTCTGTTAAGTTTTGCACAAAAATACGAATATTTAATGCAGAATAAATAACAAAAACATAATATAAACCAATTTATTATTTTGTTTAAAAAAATTAGATGATGTTAATAATATGAAATCAATAATATAGCAACGTCAGCCATTTTTTCCTTACCAATCAAGATGAACCTTCCTGACTGAACTGAACTTGCTAGATAAGATGAATTCAATCAAACAAATCAATCAAATAAACAAACTTTTAAACTAACTTTATTTAAAATAACAATCTAAAACGATAACAAATTATTTGATTTATTTAGGCCATTAATTTCATTTTTTGATCAAAAAATAAACCAAAAATTTACATTATAGAAAAAACAACACAAGCACAAACTCACCAAAAACAAGTTATTATTATGGAAAGCCCAACAGCGGGAAGGACTCGGGCTTTCATTGGCTGAAAACCAGGTCACAAACTCATCCATTTGACTGTTGGCCAATCGGGTTCTCGAAATGTATATCACGTCACTTCTCAACAAAAAATGTTTCGTGCAACATAAATAAGACTGATGTGCAACATAAAAATTGATGATTTGGTGTGGTTACAATTAAAATTAATTAAAAATAAATATAAATTCCAGTTATAAAATCATCTAAAATACGTCATAATGAAATTATTGAAATCATAATCTTGATATTTCTTCCCAAAATTGGATAGATAATTTATACAAATGTGATACATTAAAAGTTAAAACTATCATATCAACAAGGTTGTAGTATTTTTTAACATTGTTTCAATAAAATTTAATCTTAATAAAAGTTTTATTTGTAATTTTATTAAATCTTATCACCTTATTGGTAAATATGTCCCCAAAAAATCATTTTCTTTATTTTATACCTCTGAAACGTTCACTCATATATTACACAATTTTCAATTATTACAATTTAATTTTATGTAATTAATAATTAATTCATTATCATTAAAAATAGCAGTAGTTGTCTTCTTTGATAGTCATTATAAGTTAAAAGAATATTGCAAAACGTAGGTCTAGGTGTGTCTTATATCCAGGACTATACTTGTGTTATAACCCATTTAAAAAATTGATACTTATTAAGCTTTTTATTACAACTAAATAACGATAATCCAATAATTTAAAGTATTTGAAACGATCTGTTTGTTATGTTAAAATGCCGATTGTTGCGAATAATGATCATTTAAATTCAAGCCACTACATAAAATCCATTAAATTTTACACTCAAATCTGGTAAACTGATCAAACGTCATGCCCAAAAGCCTCGTCCTATTCAATTCCTTCTCCATCATCTGATATGAATGACCATATTAATATCATTATAATTATTATATAACTACAACAATTATGATATTTTAATAAATATAATTATACATACATGTCGTTTAGTTAATATTATCTGTATGTGTGTTTTAATTTTTAACAATTTCTGACATAACTGACTTCAATTCTTGCATGGCGTTTGTCTCAAATACAGATACATGCATATTTTCCATGTTTAATAGTTTAGTTGTGGTGTCAGTGTGGATGAATGCCATTTATTAATATTTTAATAGATTAATTATATTACAACTAATAAAAAATTGTTAGCTAGGAATCTCTATATCACTTCAACGTACTTCAAGACGCTAAATTCATAAATAATTTCTAATCAGAAATTATCCAGTATAATAACTGAAATAAAACGTTTAGGGATAAATTAATAACTGCATTTTTCTTTTTAAGTAGCTTGTAAACACGACTTATAATTGATGTTTAGATTTAAATTTTTGTATCAAACACTAATGGTATTATTTGGCATGGCAATTTTTCTTTTTTTGTAAAGAGAATTACTTCAAAATACCATCAATCTTTTGGCCTGAACTGCCCCATCACAATTTTTCAATTGATCTTAAGTTTAGTGACATTGACAGATTGTTGTTTTTCAAATTAATAACCACCAAGAGGCAGATAAATACTGATTGTTTGGGATTGTTTACCTGTCTTAATACGCCCGTGCCATCATTTCATCATTAATCTTAAATACTATAGATCAATTCCTACAATGAAATTTGTAGAAAGTGATTAAATTATAATACGAACGTATGTCTCAAATACTTTCACATACTAATCAATATTACATTTAATTTTTAACAAGCCAGATGGGCTAACATGTGCAGCTTTTATTGCTCAAAATTAATTGTAAGCATGAAATGAAGAAAGATTTATTGAAATCGCTTTCTAATAAATAATTAAAACCCGATATTATATCTGGATAACAATCCTAGCAAATGTTTTTATTAATAAAAATGGTTTTATAACATAATATCAAAAAATACTTTAAAAATCGATTAAAACCATAACTTCATACAAGTGAAAACTTTTCTAATGAATGGTAAATTTAGAATCATAATTAGGATGTATTTGTAGTACAAGTATCCTAAGTATATGAGTGCCTGAGTACATGTAGAAAAATTATACATGCATTACGTTACGTCGATTTAAGTTTTGTAAACGTTTATCCAGCTTCCATAACGTTTTCAAAATTAAAAAAAATTGTTTCAAACGTATGAAACAGTTCGCTTTAGTTCAATTTATTTTTTTTTTTGAGAATGGATTCATCAAAACTTGATTTAAAAGATGACATAATTGGTAATACTTGCTTAATTTCTTTCATTGTTTGATAAGTTTTGTCAGTTTGCATTTGAAATTTTTGAATTTTAAAATTTTAAACCCAACCAGAGATACTCAAAGATGCGGACCTCACTAAACTGTCTACGAAAAAAATTAGGATTCAATTAGAGGAGAAATATAAAGTTGATTTGATGGAAAGGTGGGTGGTGCTTGAAAAAGGCTTAATTCTTATTATATTATATTATTTAAAATTTAATAAAAAATTTAATTACAACTTTTATATTAATTTAAAATTTAAATTTTATTATTATTACATTTTTATTTAACTTTTTCATTACTTATCATTTCAATTCGTTTGTTTGCTTGCTAGATTTTTAAACAAATCCCAAATGTTTATTTTGAAGCATTATTTTTGTTTTTTTTAAAACTTACACATTTTTCCAAATGTTTTTTTTCAGAAAATCAGAGATTGACTTTTTAGTTATGGCTGAAATTGAAAACATTGAAAAGTGTAAAAGTACCAAAAACACTAACTCTAAAGCCAAGCCCCAACACAATGGACCGGCTCCAAAGAAGATGAAGAGGGATAAGGTAGAGGAAGAAGAGGATGATGATAATGATGATGATGTAGACGATAAAAGTGAGGACGAAGAGGATGACAAAGACAAAGATAAAAATGTAAATATTTTTTTCATTTTTTTGTTTCATTTCATTTATTTAATTTATTTTTATTTTTAAGTTTGTCATACTAGATAAATAACATGAATTTATTGTTTATTTGTTTAATAATTAATTTCAGTATTATGTTTTCAATATTTTCAGACTGAGGACGATGAAGACATCGCGAGGCAGTTGCAGGAGGAAGAAGAAAATGGTGCCATTAGGAAAACTCGAGTATGTTTAAAAGTGAATTTAAATTATTCATGTAGTTTATTTATTTGTCATTTACTGTTTTGTTTTTTGTTTTTCTCGTTATTATAAATTACAAATAAGTGGATGAATGAGTAGATAGATACTTGATTGAATAAATGGATGAATGAATGAATATATGAATAAATTATTAAATGAAATCTATTTTTACTGACCAATCAGCATGCTCATAAGAAAAAGACACCAGCTAAGTCAGAAAAGAAAGAGAAAAAACAGAGAAAAAAGGGTGCCCCTAGGGAGAGTAAGTACTTTTCATTCATTCATTCATTCATTCATTCATTCATTCATTCATTCATTCATTCATTCATTCTTTCATTCATTCATTCATTCATTCATTCATTCATTCATTCATTCATTCATTCATTCTCTTACAGATCGATTTACTGAAACTTGCAACCTATCGCCGGAGTTGGCAGCCATAATGGGAGAAGATAAGGTAGATAAATTTTTTTTTCATTCATTCATTTTATTCATTCATTAATTTATTCATTTGAATTGTAAACAGTTGAAGAGAAGCGATGTAGTCAAAAGAATGTGGGCTATAGTGAAAGAAAGAAATCTTTTTGTTAGTATGTATGTTTGTTTGTGTGTGTGTGCTTATTTGTATGTGCGTGCGCGTGCGTGTTTATAATGTAGAGGTAGGATGATGTGATGATAGTGATAATTAATTATGATAAATTGATAAAATTTCAGTTTTTAATTTCAAATTAACTTTTAGTTTTCCTAATTAGTTTCTTTAAACATAAACGCATATTAGGATCCAAAGAACAAACAGTGGATGATATGCGACGATCAGATGTACTCTGTCTTTGGTGGGATACTGTTTTTTGTGTGTTGTTTTTTTAAAAGTGAAATTTAATTATTAGCCTAATCTGATCAACTTCTGTAATTAATTAGTTGAATAAATAAACAAAAAAATGATTGAATGAGTAGGTGAACGAATGATTGAATGAGTGAGAGAGTGAATAAAAGGAAGAATTAATGGCATTTTTTTTTTATAAATCTCTATCATCAACTTAGGCAAGAAGAAGGTGAAACTGTTTGGAATGATGAAATATCTAACAAGCCACATCTACAAGAGTGATGAAGTCATTTCCTCCCCCTTGTCGTCGTGATCGTCATCATGTCCACATCATTATTACGTCATCATTATCACTTCATATTCACCATCTTCATCATCATCATCTCGTTATTACTTTTCTTCTTTTTCTTATTATTATTATTTTTAGATTCTTCTTCATCATCGTTGTCATCATCAATATTACTTTAATCACCATAATTGCCTCATCATCGTCATCATCACGTTATTATTATTATTAAAATTATTATCATCATCATCATTGTTATCGGCAACACCATCAAAATAATTTATTAGTATTATTATCATCGTTTGTATCCATATCACTATGATCATCGTTATCATCACCAAACTTATCATCATCATATTCATTAAAGTTGTACTAACCAGCTACTATACTACTGCAACAACAACTACTACTGCTGCTGTTACTACTACTACTACTACTACTATTACTACTACTACTACTACTACTATTACTACTACTACTACTACTACTATTACTACTAATACTACTACTACTACTACTATAGTTACTACTATAACTACTACTACTACTACTACACTGTAATTTTGTACTTTTTAAACATTTATAAACTGAATATTATTATTATTATTTAAAATAATATTATTATTTTTATTATTCCTTTGATGGGCGTTCTAGCATGTTTTATTATTATAGTTTAAATTAATTTTCATTTTAATTTTATAACAAGCAATGACTAACTCGACAAAATGCTCGTGCGTGTGTGTGCGTGTGTGTGCGTGCGTGTGTGTGCGTGCAAGTGAGGTTCCGCTTTCAGTTCAGTTATTGGATTAAGCTTTAGCAAATTTCTGTGTTTAATTTTTATTTGTATATGAAAATATTTAGTTGATAGTTTGAATAAACAAATGAATAATCAATAATTAAATTAATTAATTAGAAAGTTTAAGAGGAATAATAAAAAATAAAAATAATTTGGGTTGTTTTTTATAAATTTAATGAATAAATGAAGAAGAATAGGCTAGGATAAAAAAGTTATTTCCGAAGTCCTAGAGGTAAAAGTTCTAGACACAGATTTAAAAATATCTCTACATATTGGAAGTTTGCAATATTTCACTGTACAGAAAGGTTTAAAATTGTCACAACGAAATTCATTCAAAAATTATTTGTAACAGTAAGCTGTAACGTAGAGCTGCCAATGTTTCGATGCTAAATCAATGTTTTTACATTTACAAAATTGGTTTGAGTGAAGGTTTAAAGTTGAAAAGTAAGCTTAACTTCTGACATTATGTTTCAAAATACGTCTCTACAACAATTTATTACAGTAGAGAGTGAATATTTCCATTATGAGGAAGGAGATGGCAAACATTGAATGGAACGCTGTATTTCTGCTAGCTGAATTATTTGGCGTTTTCCTAGCGGTGGTTGGTGAGGTTGTGGTTAATATCCCGCCTGTGGTTGCAGCAGTTGAAGCTGCAGCAGTAGCTGTTTTGGCGTCTGTAATCGCAACAACGACATCGAGGATGGCAGACAGTGGAGGATTGCCTGTCAGGATATTTATTCAGTGGTCAATATTCTTAAGCGAAGGTTATTCTAAACTTGGAAACGTTTACAAAACGAACCGCTGTCGGTGGCTTCAATCTGAATCATTATCTCTGAGGCCAGGCTGACCGGCTTGACGACACTCAACCAGCCCGTCGTGGGTTCTAATGAAAAGTAGCCTGATTCCAAAGACGGCAGGATGCTCATTGTGACGTCATCGTTGTCGTCATCTTTTGCGATGAACTATTTGATTGTGAGAGATATGCTTTTGGTAGCATGTTTCAACAAATTACGAACGCCACGTTATAATGATAAGCAATAAATTGTATACATAATTCCGATTCAAATGTTCAATATATCAAACTGACTAGCTTTTTTATTGAATATGCAAAAATTCAGCGGATACTTCAAATCTGAATACCTGATAGAACTTAGGAGCCAGCTGACCCACTGTAAGCTTCAACGTTAGCCCAGACTTATCAACAAAAGTCGGTGGGTACTCATTAGCGTTTTGTACATTAACTTTGACGACGGCTGTTGAATTCAGCGCGATGCTTCGTTCTATGTCGTCGAATGCTACGACTGTCAGGTTGTACAAACTTTTCGTCTCGTAATCTAGTGGCTTTGCCAAACTTAACTGGCCTTTTTTGTTGGAGAAAATATATAATTTGGTTTTATAGTATGCTCAACTTCAACATTATTTTGTAAAAAAAATATGTTAAGTAATTGAACAAATTAGAAATAAACCAGAAAGGAGATTGATAGCGAAGAAGTTTTCTTCATTGCCAGCTTGAAAATAATAGTGAGTGGCAGAGCTATCCTGGTCTTTGCATGAGATGTCCACATTCAACGTGCTGCCCACTTCAAGCGTTTCCTTAAATGATGTCTGCCAATTTTAAATTAAAAACAAGTTAGCGAGCGGAAAAAATTAAAAAAACAAAACTTCCAAAAGTCCTGTACTCCGTAAATTTTTTGTTTGAAAACTGGCGGGTAGAGATTGAGATCAGTGATGTGTATCGTCAGATCTTGAGTATTTAGAGATGCGTGCCTACCATCGGAAGCTTGCACAGAAACTTGCAACAACTTAAGAGTCAAATTGTTGCCGAGTGGAGCGATCAGGCGGACCACCCCGCTATCTCTGTTCACTGAGATGAATTGGAAAACATCGGGAAGTGAGAAAACTGTTGTGTATAACAGTTGGGCTGAAAAAAAATTAAATTCATGTTATTTTACAAAGAACGTTAAATATGTTATTAAACTAACAGTTGAGATCGCAATCTTCGGCTTTGAAGGTGTAGAGGAGAAAGTTGACAGGAGTCCTCCTCGATACAGTGATGTTGGCTGACGTGCTGTTGAAACGAGGTATGCAGTCGTTGACGTCGGTGACTGACACTGCAACAGTGGCTGTCGATTCCAGTGGTGGCGCGCCCGAATCAACCGCCTTCAACTCCAGTACGAATGTATCGATTAGCTCTCTATCGAATGATGCCGTGTTAAGAAGTTTCACTCTTTTGCTTTGTAGGTCGGGAACGAGTTTGAAATAATTGCCAGAAACCAAGTTAGGAGGGGAGAGAATTTTAAAAGAGAAGTCTTTTATTTCAGAGTTGATACCGAAATCCAGGTCAGAAACTTGGGCAACGAGTAGTTCTGTATCGATGGAAGCGTTTTCAGGGACCTTAACAACGTAACTTGGTTGAGAAAACATTGGCGGATGATCGTTCACGTCGACAACTCTCACTAAGACATCTACTGAACTCGAGAGCTGGCCGGTTGGCGGGGCCCCATCATCAGCAGCCATCACTTTGAACTTGAAAATTGTGTTTTCGCTTGAAGCGACCATTGGCACCAAGTTCGTAACGACGCCTGTATTGGAATTTAAAGTGAACGGAACGTATTCCGAAGATGGGACAACGGAGTACGTAATTTTTTCGTTGGGATCGTCTCCGTCCCATGCCGACATCTTCCCAACAACTGTTCCAGCTTGTTTTGTTTCACTGACATTGAAAACATATTCTGTGTTGTTGAACGTTGGCTTGAAATTGTTTGCTTTTGAGATTTTCAAAGTGAATTTCGCCGTGGTTGTTAATGGAGGCAGGCCATGGTCAGTGACGTTGATAATGAATTCATGGCTGCCCAGATGACCTGCGAACGATGTTTTCGATGTTATGGTCTGATCAACTTGATTGTACGCCAGCAAATCATGGTTGTCTGGATGCACCAACTGGACGGTCAGCACGGAGTTGTCACCGGCGTCCACATCTTTCACAGCTACATTCTTCAACAGTTCACTTCCAACAGCTGTTATATCTTCGAAACTGAGAGTACCAGGCAGTCCGAGAATTTGAGGAGCGTTGTCGTTGACATCTGTCACGTTCACCGCAACTATTAAGGTTCCTGTCTTTGCAGGGTTTCCAGAATCTGTGGCAATGACGACGATGCTGTACTGGTCTCGCTCTTCTCTGTCTAGTTGTCTCGTGGTGCTGATGACGCCTAGTAATTAAATGAAGAAATAAAAATGTTGTCAGCAACAAATCCCAAACATCTTAAAATACCGTCTTGAGGTCCGATGCTAAATGGTAAATCTGGCTGCGTCTTCAGAGAGTATGTAACTGCATCATGGTCGTCTCCATCAGTGGCCTTGACTGCCAGCAGAACGTGAGGAGAGTTCAAGTTTTCCACGATGCTGACCTTGAGGACATCTGTGCCGAATGATGGCGCCTGCAGGTTGGCTGCCGTTGTGAACAGGCTGTACATGAAGGTTCCTAATGTTTTGTAAATTCGTTTGTAAAAATATAATAAGTAAATGAGAATTGAATTAAGTTATGAAAATTATTTTGATTTTATATTAACGTTATCAGGCATGAACTTTTGACCTGGTGTGGAAACGTGATCAAAAATTTGCAAGTAATTCTTCTTTTTGATCAACTGCAGCCAAACGTTGTGTTCTACGTTCACCTGCCTCCCTGCGTTATTACTAACGGATGTAAATTTTTGGCTGGCATCCAAGGAAGGTGGGAACAACGTCCGCATGTACACCCAGCCAGATGACTCGCATTTTGCTGTTAGCTGAATTTTAAAATTAAAATATACAAAACAAATTTACAAAAAATTAATTAGAAATCGAGTCGACAACTCAACAAACTTTGAGAGGCCTGCCCAACAGCAGTCCGTCACTTGATACGTTGCACATGGAGACGTTCAGTGGATTGGTTGCGTTTGAACTATCGTACACCAAATATGGGAGCAAATCCAGAGTCATCGATGGATCGACGATCAAGAAATCAACCAGGGAGTCAGATTTTGGAAAGTCAATGAGGACGGTGTGAAGGAGTTCGTGGAAGTTCACTTCTTCTAGAAGAGACAGGCGGGAATCTCCTGCCGGACAAAATTTATTTTTCATTTATTGATGATGATAAATATTAATTTGACTAAATTTATTTGCAAATTTTCATGATAAAAGAGTTTACCAAGCGGATTTGTGTTTTGAAAAGTTGCCGAATAATTTGAGAAGGTTCCGGAGAGAGAACAGGTCATTATCCACTGAGCTGACATCGTAGACATTGGAAGGATATCACCAAAGTTGACAGTTAGCGACGGAGACACGTCACCTGCTGCAATCTTGGTGCCCACAATTTTAAAATCTACCAGTAGACCTTTTTCGTTGTCAATAATCTTTGGTTGGGAGGACGTTATTTTGAGGTTTGTGGCAGGTCCGTAGCCCAAATTTGTGATGAGGATGCCCAGTATGAAAGGGACTGCCGGTTCAACGACGTCTGCAAGTGAAGTTTTGGCGGATGAAAATTAAAATGTTAATGTGAGTATCATTTTAGTCCACGAAACTATTATAAAAATAACTTTGAGTGAAGGGATCATCGCTGTAGACGTATTTTTCAAGGAAGTAGTTGACGTGGAGGCGAGGGTCTGGTTTGACGGTGATGGTGTCCGGGAACAAGGGAACTGTCATGCTCTGGTTGCCTGCAGTTATGAACCAAACATTTTTAATTTTTACAACATTTTACGCACTGAAACATCCAATGAAGTTTGAAGTGCAGCATTTACTTTGTAGCACATTATAGCAACAAACAACTTTGAAGCCCAGGTTAACATCATATGAATTAAATGTGTTGCATGTTTGTGCACAAATCTTTAAAATAAATTCCAAATGTGTCAAATAAATGTGTTCGCGAATCATTATATTTCAGTTGCTGAAGTCAAATTTAGATAATGTAACACACAAGCATCTCACGCTATATCATCTAATTCGTTTTGAATTTTTTTTTTAAAGATGGACCAAAACTACTAACCGACAGTGTAGTAGAGAGTGCCTCCGACATTATATTGGACGTCTGAGGTTGGTGCGGCTGACGAGTAAGGAATGATGAGCCACCTCGCTGTACCAGTGTTACTTTTCCTCAACACTCCACTCCCTGTCACGTCCGTCAGGCCTTCAACTGTCGGCTTTCCTGGGGGCAGAAGTAAGGCTCAATTGACATAAGAACGGAAGATAAATGAATTTGTGTATGTTTAAAATTTCTTACCGATGGCGAATTTGAAGAGAGCGTCTGTGGTGTTTGTTGTGCCGTACGTTGTTATCTCGATGACCACCTTGATACCCGTCAGGTCACTCGCCTCCCCATTCTCCAGACGAAGTTCTGCTTCAAATCCAGTCCTCGTCAGAGTCATGCGTTGCAATATTTGGATCCGAACCTTGGCGCACACGCCTTCGTCCGGTGACTTGATTTAAAAAACAAAATTTCAATACATTTTCAAACTTTAATGCGTTATTTAAACTAATAACAAACGTACTGATTCAGCTTGTTGGTAAATGTTGAAGGCATCAAGATACCAGTCGGCAATGCTCTTTTTGCTATCCTGTTAATTTGTTTCACACAAATAAATAGAAATATTTACAAATTTAAGATTTGTTGATACCTTTTTAGCCTTATCTTCATAAACTTTCAACTTTTGTTCACTTTCTTGAACTTTGGCCAACCTGATCATCCCATCAGCCAGGCCCTCCCCTCCTCTGCTCCAGTCTGCAAACGATAAATTGTACCGGAGAACCAACCTTCGAACCATTTCTTGGGTAGCGTTACTGGGCAACGGACTGTTCATTATGCCGTCAAACTCATTCTTAGTGACCAAGGAGCCGCCATCACTTGT